TACTAAAAAACTTTGTTGAAGTCATTGTATATAATCAGAGAGCTGAGTGCTTACAGCAGTGGTTCTCAACCTTCTTAATGCCGTGATATTTTAATACAGTTAGTGCCTCATGTTGTGGTGACATCCCAACCACAAAATTATTTTTGTTGCTACTTCATAACTAATTTTGCTACTGTTATGAATTGTAATGTAAATATCTGATATGCAGGATGTATTTTCATTGTTATAAATTGAACATAATTATAGCATGGTGATTCATCACAAAACAGTATATAATTATATATGGTGAAATATTTATTTGCAATTACAAATGAAATTTTGTCTTGAAGCACGGTGTCACATGAGTAACAGTCTTCACACAGGGTACTTGTATGTGGGCGTATCTGCATGTGGGCGGACCATAGAGGAGCAGTGTCTCAGTTCTTAAGACCATCAGAAATATTGTTTTGTGTGTTTTCCGATGGTCTAAAGCGACCCCTGTGAAAGGGTCGCTCGACCCCCAAAGGGGTCGTGACCCGTAGGTTGAGAACCACTGACTTAGAGGAAGGAAGGTGGCAGAGACTGAGCCCTCCCACATTTAGGAAGTGAACAAGCCAACAAAGCGAATGTATCTTCATCTTTACCAGCACATGAGAGATTTACTTTGTATTCAGTCTTACCTGGTTTCCTTTTCTATGCTGGACAGGAAGCCAGCTAATTTAGAATTTGTTTCACGTAGTTATATTTTGACCACAAAAAAACCCGAAAAGATAAAAGTAAGGTTTATATTTAAATGAGGCATAATCTCTTAATAAATAAATATGCTAGCAAACCCTGACAAGAGCAAAGATGTAACAAATCAGAGACGCATAGAAACAATTAGTTCAGAAGACTACTGGCCCACACAAACTCCAGCCCCAATGATCCCAAGACCAGAAGAACTAGAGATGGTGCCTGCCTACGTCTTTGAAAGGGATCGCAATAGGAGGCCGTGCCTTATAAATTAGGCAATAATTTATAGAAATATATTATTTCATCCAACTTGGAGTCTTGAACAAATAATGGGCTATAAGTCTAGAACCTGAAAATGCACAGAAATTATACAAGTTTTATTGTAACATAATCTGACCTACACTTGTTTTATTGCATGAGACAGCCAACACAATAGGCATGCACAGTCAGAAAATATGAAACAGCCCGGAAGTAAAACTGCCATGTGAATAAGAACTGAGTAAAAAATGAAATACTTATAATGAAGAAATGAAAATTTTCATTCATGCTAAATATCTAAAGCAGGGCAAGTAACTGACTTACAGTAACAAGTAACATGTCAAAATTAAAGTAATAGTGGTTTTACATTATATAAGAAAAACAGTAATGCTATGCTAATATATATATGTTTAATTAATTTTTTCAGAGACCCAGTTCCAAACTTTTTAGATTCTGCCAATTGCAGGTAATTTAGCCTCTCCAGGGAGAAGGCAGCAATGGGTACAAAAGCAGGAGGGATTTTCAAATACGATTCTTGCCAGTACCTTGGGGTTAAGTTACCGTACTACTCGGAGCTGCAGGGTCTGCATATGAAAATCAAGAACAAAATGCAACATACTTCACAGCAATAACGTTTAAAATTAAAGAGTATGCAGAGCACCAGAAAATATGAACAACTTTATAAAAACGAATTCCTTCCTCATATCCCATTTCCCTTCTTTTCACTGTTTCCTGTTGACTAAAATCATCTTTTGAATGCCTTTTGGAGAAAAGAGTAGATATTTACCTTGATCAAATGGCGATGGTATCATAAGCTTACTGGATTTGATCAGCAGTGTTTTGAAATAGAGTAAAATTTTATTTTACTGGACAATAAAGTCCTTCAGGGCTTGACTGCCGGCCATTTTTGAAACCCTATTGCCTACAGAGCTAGTAAGATTTACATTATGGAAAATACACACAACAATATGAAAAAACACTAAAGATCATTTGTATCAAAAGTATCAAAGCAAGCTGTATCATTTGCTTTGGAATGAAAAATTGAATGAACATGGTATCATAGGTAAAGTGATCATTTTTACCAAGTACTACTTTTTGTGTGCTCGATTCAATAGACTAATATCATAGTTTTCACAAACAATGCAACTTGAAATTAGGCCTATTTAACTTGTCCATGAATCTACATTTCCTTGCCTTTGCAATGGCAGCTTAGCAGATACGCGATTTCAAGTATGTCTATGTTCACGCTTGCCAAAGTGCTGCCAGTCGGGGGCACATCTGAATAAGTACCATCAGCAGTTCTGCCATACTACACTTTCAGCATCTCAGACTATAGACATCTATTACTGGTGGGGCTTGAATACACTCATAGTTCCTAAAGGGGTAAAGCGTTATTGGCGAGAAAAAACAAAAACCCTGTTGGTTTAATTCTGATTTGCAAGGCTGCAAGGGTCATTCTAATTTCCAAATTCTATAGAATGTCTGCCACTGTACAGTTTGAATAAGCTGAGAACAGCATTCCACATTTGAGCAAATATCTTTTTTTTTGCCTTTGATTTTCTTTTTTTTTAAAAATCATTTTAGTAGGGGCTCATACAACTCTTATCACAATTCATACATACATCAATTGTGTAAAGCGCATTTGTACATTCATTGCCCTCATCATTCTCAAAACATTTTCTCTCCACTTAAACCCCCAGTATTAGGTCCTCATTTTTCCTCTCCCTCCCCACTCCCCCCTCCCTCATGAGCCCTTGATAGTTTATAAATTGTTATTTTGTCATATCTTGCCCTGTCCGACATCTCCCTTCACCCACTTTTCTGTCGTCCGTCCCCCAGGGAGGAGGTCACATATAGTTAGTTCCTTGTTGAGCAATTATCTTACATAACATACAACTATCTAAATAGCAATTAGCCTATTTACACACACACACACACACACACACACAATTTAGTTATTATAAGCCTCTTGCAGTATCACACTGTTTTTCATATTTATCATTGAAATCATAAAACCAGTGTTTCCTAATCTTAAAGGAGAAAATGTATCATTTGGTGACCCGAACTGGTCCAAAAGAGCAAAATTCTTGGCTATAGAAAGGACCTCTTAATTTTTCTTCAAGTAACCAATTATGGCTATATTATTTTACTCCCTCCGACCATGCCACTGAGAAGTCCTGGTGGCGCTGAGGTTGAGTTCTAGCTGTGAACTCTAAGACTAGCTGGCTGTTTGAATGCACCATGTGGTTTGCACCACGAGCCACTGCTGGTGAGAGAGATGGCAACTCCCTCCCTGCACACAGAGTTCAGAGCTGGAGCTCCTCGGGCAGTTCACCGGTCTTGTCAGGGGTTTGCGAGTCAGAGTCAAGTCAACAGCAATGGGTCTGGATTTGGGGACCATGCATCAATTTGGGATGAAGATCCTATTTCAAAACATATTGCAATGTTTCTTCATATCAATATAATGGCATCTTGAAAACAAAACCTCCAAAAAAGATTTTAAATAATGTAAATGGTTTTCTGAACATTCTAAAGAGAAGTATTAAAAATCTAATTATGAAATGCCTCACATCTAAAATCCTGCAAAATAGCTTAGATGTTTAGATTAATTACAAGATTTAATTCTACTTGAGAGGTTTCTAATATCCACTTTCTTTCCTTCTTCATATTTGTCACTAGTATTAATTAGTATCACCATCCAAGAATAATAAAGCAGAAAAAAGGATAAAAGGAGCAAATTTGCTTATTTTAATATTTAATAGTCAGCTCAATTGACAATTTATCTGTGTGTGTTGCAGTGGGGGAGGGGGCGGGAGATGTCCAGGAAAAAAGAAAGATGGTAGCAAAAGATTAAATTTTTACAATGAGGTTGGAATCTGTCTCCCTCTGTCTCCTTCTACATCAGCAATCTTGTGCAGCCCTCCCCCAACATGACTACACAGGCACCAGCCCAGTACAGTCTCTCCCGTTTCCATCAGAACCTTTCACGCATTCATTCTGCATACTTGCACTGAAGGGGCCTGGGCCTGGGCCTGGGCATTATTCTAGCTGCTGGGCTACAGCAACACACAAAACGAAATCACTGCTGTTACAGAGCTCACTTTCCCACAAGACAGGATAGAGTCTTTAAAAAAAATAGACAGAGCACACTAGATAATTAATGCTATGAAGAAACATAAAGCAAGAAAAGAGGTTAATGGAGAATTTAGTTTAAGGGTACAAGTTGAATATTTAAATGAGGCAGTCATTTATCTTGATGCCTGTTTCTTAAAAAAAAACCCAAAACATTGAAAACGATGTATTTCTATTTTATAAGTATCAAATTATTTTAAAAGAGATACATTGAGAACAAATTTGTTACAGAGAGCATGTGAATAATCTCAAAAGTTGCAATTTTAATGACAACATGGCCATTGCGTAACCTTAAAAAAAAAAAAAAAAGATTGCCTTGTACTACTTTTTTTTTTTTTAGGGTGCCCTCTGAGTAGAAGGCCACCAGTAAACACAGGTATATATCATAATGATTTTTATTGGTGGTGTGATAAATTCTCTAGTATAAATTGACACCATAATGATCACCAAGCAGTAACAAAATAGTATTAAAATTCAAAACAAAATACAACTCCACCCCACCCTCACCTATCCTGTCTTGCTTAGTGAGTTTTGGGTGGCAGAACAAACCGTCAATCTATGGTCCAACTGATGACTGATATCCAGCTACATTCCAGAAGTGGCCACATAAGCTTACGGTGTAGTGACTGGATACCTTCCCGACACATTCTCTGGTCTCTGAAGGTTCCTGAGAACTCAGAAGGCTGGCTACCTTCTATGGAGAGCAGGCTTGTCAACAGAAGTTTCTTTTGGTTAGTACCCACCCACAGCTACCTTAATAACTGCTGCTCTATAAGGCAGAAAAACTTGTTAAAATTTTCAAGTACTCTCAAAACCCCTCATCATGAATTCTCTCCCACACATACTTAACAAATATTTTTAAATGAAGGATATTAGAAAATTCTACCAATAAAGAATACCTCCATGGTGATGTGACAGACTCCCTCCATTAGCAAGGATTTCTTCTCTAGCAGCTGCCTGTATTTGGAAATGAGATGACAAACAACTGTTGAATTTTACTCTGGAGTGAATATGGAGTAAATCTCTCATTAAGCCAACAAGTTTTAGTGACTAAGAATTTCCCCGAGGTAACTCATTTATCTTCATTACTACATTATGGAAATAATTACAATTATTCCCATTTCAGAGATAAGGAAAATGAAGCTCAGACAGGGTAAATTACTTAACTAAGATTGTACAGGGAGAATCTGAGTCCAACTTACTAACAAAGCTATCAGATACCACCCATTAGAGACCTTATGGACAGGGTGTCATAGGCCAATGTTTGGGGACAAATTACTAGTCATTATTATATATAATAGCCATGAGGTGGTAAATCAAAACACTCTGAACAATGTAAGAGTTTACTCAAGTGTGTAAAATCCACGAGGAGTTAGGCCAGGGGAAGAGGGCCCAAGTGAGGCAGAGAGACCACGTTTTATTGTACGGTGCTCTACGAGAACCTCATCATTCATATGAATCAGGAAATAAGCTAGTCCCAGCTTTAAAGACTGTTCTCCTACAAACTGCTTTAAATAATCACAGCAACAATGACTTGAGGTCAGTACCACTGCAGAGAATGGCAGTCTGGACTGAGGAAGAAGGAGCAATTTCACTCTTCTGGAACTGAAGGAAAGGGCCTTTGGGGCAGCTAGATAGCACTGAGAGACTAATGTAATGGGAAAATCCACATTTGTGTATTTTAAACAACACTTACAATACTTTAAATAAGTTTAGTGTTTTTCAATTATACCTGGACAAAACTGTACAATGGTGGAGAAGCCTGCAAAGGAGGCTGAACTCTGTAAACGTTAGGGCTCACAGAACGCCACTGAAACCCACCCTGCAGAACCCCTGTGGCCGGCATGCGACAGAGCAAGGACTCGGACTCCTTCAGAGTTCAGTCTGCTTGAACGCTAGGCGTACTTGTAATGAGAAACCTGCGTGTGGATAGGGGGCTTTATAAAAGCAAGCAGCTCAAGACCACTTAGGGAAAGTGGTACAGACTGCCAGCAAATTAACACCAATGGGCTACACACAGACTCAATCAGTATCAAAATGGGAAGCCTAGAATGACAGCACTAGACGTGCTGCCTTCAGCCACAGCAGCTACCTGGAGATGAACGTGATATCAAGGATTCCTACAGTCTTTATTTAATCAGCTACTATGTACAGTCAAAGAATCAGTGGCTACAGGTGTGGAGGTTATTAATTTAAGACGCATAATTCATTATGCAAGCCAATACAACAGTATGGTTTCCATTTCCATGGGCTGGCACCAAGCAAACCATCTGTAACCACCAAAAGTCCAACTGCTACACAAACACTGATAGTATAAGTTTACTTAAGTTACTCTAAGAAGTAAGACCATATGCATGTAATCATAATTACCTCAGTCTGTTCAAACACAGCCAGCGGGTCGCTAATCCCCCGGTAGTTAAAGGCAAAATAGAAGTAGATACATGCGCCTGCATCGTATGTCTGGGTCACCCTAAACAAAAACAGAGAAAAAATCCCCTTAAAGGCTTAAAAGTAAGTGAAATGAGATCTAACATCTCGACACTTGGCAAAACCACCCAGATGACTTGCTTAAACGTCAATCTCCTTCTCTACCCAGCCTCTTTCTCTATTGAAGGAATGTGGACTGGGCATTTCTCTAAGCGTTGTGGCCCACACAAGTGAACCAAAGCTGCAGTGGGAAACCAAAAGAGTTTACTTTCATGACAGTAAATTAAAGTTTGGTCAATATTATAGACACACATGCTATCATTCTTTTGTCTGTTCAATCCCATGTCTATTGGAAAACTTTTAAAACGGAAAATGACACCTTTTATGTATTGGTGACCTGGCCATTTTCCCCTGGCCTCATGCAAGTTGTTTAGTTATCTAGAAGTAATGGGAGCTATTAGCAGCATGTACACAATCAGACAAATGTATGATTATGAACTGTTTTATATTATACAATCAAAATAACATAACTTTATCGTAAAAAGGTACACATTTAACAAAAATATGGCATCAAAACTGTCAGAATCACAATGCGTCTTGGCCATAAAAGTAATGCTGTAACTTTTGATCTTCCTCTATTCAGCTAATTTTATGCATGATTAATTCTTTATTTAACTGGGATGAGACAGCACTTGAGGTATATTCAGTTACAGTGTCGTTATTTTTCAAGTGTGTTTCAAGCCAAAGGAAAGCGATAGGCCCACATGTGTAGATGTCACTATTTTTTACACTGCCATAGTAAGCAGGAATGACACAAGATGCAGAAGTCCCTTAGAGCTTTGGAGATTTGAGTCCATCAAGAAGTATCTTCGAAGAAAGGCCTGGAGCTCTACTTCAGGAAAAACAGTCGTTGAAAACACTGTAGAACACAGTCCTCTGCCATGTGGGGTTGCCATGAATCAGAATCAACTTGATGGCAAATGGATCCTGGAGGGAGGCAACATTCAACTAGGGGGGTAAAAAAGCTCAAAACCTGGTCCCATCACTGCTGAAAAATATCGGCATGAAATGCAAAGTATACATGAGCATGCAAACACCTAAGATTTTCATTATTTAAAAAAATGCATATTGAACAAATGTGGGTGAGACAGTTAAGGTTCATTGTGCCAACCTGGCCAATAAACACATGTGGGATAAATTGAAGGGCAGAGAGATAAATGGCTCGGCGAGCCTCGCCCTTCGAGTTCTCGGGTCTCCTGCTTTCTGATGGTCAGACCAGGGTGCAGCTGCCTCAGCCAATTCCCTGCTTCAGTTGGCAAGGCTCGCTTCTTGTGAGAAATCTCTGAGAAGTCACATGGACCTACCCTGATGCAGCTCTGGGTGCTAGAGCAGCAGCGCGGAGACCCTTGCCAACACCGAGATGCTTACACGATCACTGATTCGGCTTTCTTCCTACAGTTGGCGTCATTGTGTGTGTTTTGTGAGATTGAGGAGGACTTTGTAGATTGGTGTCTGACATATGGGCTAATGTTGGACTTATGGGCTTGGATAGCACTGGGTTGGGATGCTTTCTTTCTTTCTTTTTTTTTAACATTTAAAAAGTACTAGGAACCTTTCTTTATATATATATTTTTTTATTGTTTTATTAGGGGCTCATACAACTCTTATCACAATATATATACATACATCAATTGTGTAAAGCACATTTGTACATTCATTGCCCTCATCATTCTCAAAACATTTGCTTTCCACTTAAGCCCCCAGTATGCTTTCTTAATGTACACTTAACCTTTATATAAAAATCTCTCTCACTTAACCTTCATATAAAACACTCTCATAGATAGATAGATAGATAGATAGATAGATAGATAGATAGATAGATAGATAGATATAAATAGATAGTTTCTGTGGGTTTGTTTCCCTAGTCTATCCAGAGTAACACAGCTGACCATTACAATCTCTTCGAAGTACATTAAGTACTGTGGGTTTGTCATTTGTTGGGATTCTCCCAGCTCAAGAGACTCGATACATTCTGGGCAAGAAAAAGTAAATCACTCAAGTTACAGGCCAAAACAGAGACTCTCTCCAGTTTAGAAATAAATGACCCTGAAATAAATAAAGGCAGTCCCAGGGTTATGGATATCTGACTCACATACAACTTATAGTTACAAGGCAACAACTGTAAAGCTTATTGTATTAAAACTTCGAGGTACATAAAATGGTTCATAGTAACAGGCACTAACTTTGCAATGTGCAGCAAAACATTAGTATCACTGTATATTAAGTGCAAGATGTTTTAGTAACTGGAAGTTTTTATTATTGTTTTTTATACAGAGAAAGGTCCACTATGTATTATATACTAAGTAAACATTTGACTGACTGATGTTAGATACAAACTATATCTAACAAACAGTTCTGATTTATGTACAAATTCAACTTAAAGACAGATTTAAGAATGGAGCTCTTTTTTTGTGTGTGTGTGGGGGGAGCTCTTTCTTAATCTGGGGACTGTCCGTATCAGTAACATATTTTTTAACCCCAGTAATTTATATGCACTTGAAGCCACTCTTTCCAATTCTCTATAGATAAAACACGATGTAGGTTCAGGATATAGGCTGATGAAAGAACTCAAGAAAGCTGATAATTCTGCTTTCAGTTTTAAAAGCCATCTGCTTGTGCACCCGTTGTCTTCAGTGATCATGCTAAAAAGGTGAGCATCTCAGACTGCCGAATTGTTAGAACAAAATGTTCTTGTGTTGAGGGAGTACTTGAGTAGGGGCCCACTGTCCATCTGTTTCCTTAATACTAAACCTATAAATATACGTACATAGATCTATTTCCCCCTTCTTGTATATAAATATATTTACATCTGTATATACGGTAAAAAAAAGCTGATGGTGCCTGGCTATCAAAAGATATAGCATTTGGGGTCTTAAAGGCCTGAAGATAAACGGCCATCTAGCTGAGAAACAACAAATCTCACATTGAAACACATCAGCCTATCCCGACATGATTGCTGAAGACAAAGCGAGTGCATAAGCAAATGTGGTGAAGAATGCTGATGGTGTCTGGCTATCAAAAGATATAGCATCTGGGGTCCTGTAGGCTTGAAGATAAACAAGTGGCCATCTAACTGAGAAACAACAAAGCCCACATGGAAGAAGCACACCAGCCTGTGAGATAATGAGGCATTCGAGGGATCAGGTATTAGGCATCGAAGACCAAAAAAAATCAGCATTGTGAATGAGGGAGAGTGCAGAGCGGAGACCCAGGGCCCATCTGCGGGCAATTGGACATCCCCTTGCAGAAGGGTCTCGGGGAGGAGACGAGCCAGTCAGGGTGCAGGGTAGCAATGATGACACATACAATTTTTCTCTAGTTCTTGAATGCTTCCTCCCCCCCTCTATTATGATCCCAATTCTACCTTACAAATCCAGCTGGACTGGAGGATGTACACTGGTACAGATAGGAACTGGAAACACAGGGAATCCAGGACAGATGAACCCCTCAGGAGCAGTGGTGAGAGTGGCGATACCAGGAGGGTAGAGCGAAGGTGAGGTAGAAAAGGGGAACAGATTATAAGGATCTACATATAACCTCCTCCCTGGGGGACAGACAGTGGAGAAGTGGGTAAAGGGAGATGTTGGACAGTGTAAGATATGACAAAATAATAAAAATTTATACATTATCAAGGGTTCAAGGACCAGAGAGGAAGGGAGAAAAAATGAGGAGCTGAATACCAAGGTCTCAAGCAGAAAGAAATGTTTTGAGAATGATGAGGGAAACAAATGTACAAAAGTGATTGACACAACGGATGGATGTATGGATTGTGATAAGAGTTGTTCAAGCCCCCAATAAAATGATTTAATTATTAAAAAAAAAAAAGGTCATCTGAAGCTGTGTCAGACACCTTGAATGAGATACAGACAAACAACATAGTAGTTTCACACAGCTTAAAAACTAGTGTAGACTCTAGACTAACCAGAAGAAAAGTGCTAAGGAAATAAAAACCACAGTAAGTGATTACACCAAGAATAATAAAATGTGGGCAGGCCATACTAGAAAAGTTACCTGTTCTAGGGAAGGGATAAGGCACCCAGGGCAAAAAGGGCAGGCTCTAGGAATCAAAGAAACAGCTGGGTACCCGGGAGAGTAAGAGAAATACGTTGGGAAGGAAAAATTGGTAAGAACTCAATAAGAAAACTAAGAGAATTTGAGAAAGAAACCGAAATAAAGGAGCAACGTAAGTAACTGCTGTGATAGCAGGTAGCGGCAGTATACAATCGTTCTCTGGGCCACTCACCCTGCCTCTGGGCCTGACCCTTCCTAAGTAGGCATTGTCGACTCCACAACAGTTGAGGTCTTTTTTGTTTTATTGATCTTTCTATGACAAAAGGACATAGAAGTCAACCTAAAGAAGTTCCCAATGGCCAAATATGGAACATATCGAACAACAAAGTGAATAATGATAATCATAGATATCACCCAGAAAATCAAATAGTGATGAGTTCACACTATTACAAATAAAGTGGTAAATATGCAATTGGAGAGATGAAAGTGCTTCCTGATAATAAAATTCCAAATCATAAATTCAGAAAGAATGACCTGGACCAACCACAAGGAAGCATATAAGAAACGTTTGAGATGAGGAACACTTTACAAAATAGCTGTCCAGTATTCTTTAAAAATTCCAAGACCACGCACAATACAAAAGGCCCCCTTCTAGATTGGAAAAGATGAAGAAACCAAACTAACTCAACACATCCTGTGATCTAGTTTTGGACCCTGAATTTAAGAACCGGACATAAGCAATGATGAAATTTACATAAGGTTTGAGGACTAGTACATAAGATTGTAGGTATGTAGACAAACATGGCATCAGTATGTTGCAAGGTGTGAACCTTTGGGCAATCCAGGGAGAAGCATCTATAGGAACTCTCTGTACTGTTTTAGCAACTTGTTAGAAGTCTGAATTATTACTCAAAAAAGTTTTAAAATATTTTACAAACTATGTAACTGTCTCTCCAACTGCTCTGAAATAAACAAAGCACCGATTCCTTAGAAGGAATAATAAAGAGTATATTGCTGTTAAAAAACAAAATAAACTACCGTTTATACTCGAGTATAAGTCGACCCCAATATCAGCCCAGGCACCTAATTTTACCACAAACACTGTATGAACAATGTGCTGGAACACTTGGCTTATACACGAGTATATATGAAAAAAAATGAAATTGAGTGATCAGTTAAGTCTTCCACCCTCAAGGTTAACAGAAATAAATCTTAGAATGTAAAACTCAGAAATGTTCAAGTACCAAAAATGGTCAAGCTGGGTGAAATTGAGTATTTCCACCAAGTTCACATTACAGAAACTGGTATGGATCTTGGAAACAAAATAAATGATCAGCTCAAAAGCAGTGATCTGGCCTTAAAATCGTGTCTCTTGAAGTCATGCACCATAGAGCCCGTGTGACTGCATGGTGTATAAGTATATACATCAGATAGAGAGAATGTTAGGTTATTAAATCATATATATGATGTCTATCTAGGCTTTAAGAATGAAATTAGGTGAGTCATTAAAAAAAAAAAGTAAACATAGTCAAATTTCCAAATGCAATTCACTGAGGTTCCCACAAAGAATTTAATTTAACAGAAGGAGCAAGTTACCCGGGAAATATTCTTTTTACTGCACAATACAGATCAAATGTACTTTAAAATTTTAACAGGCTTTTAGGCCAAATGTTAGGTGGCTCCTAACAGAAGAAATGAGCTGTGTAACAATGTTACTGTCAATTTGCCAGCTGCGCTTTCCTTCTAGTGCTAATTCACTCTCCTAAAAAAGACCTTTTGGGTTGTTTACATTTTAAACACCAGATTTACAAAGTGAAGAAAAACTAGAGAACTCATGTTTGAGAGCACTACATTTAGAAAAAAACAAAAGCAAATGAAATTTGAAAGATGAATAAACTACATGATTCATGAGAGAACAGAAAATCCATGCATAAACAAAAAATGTAAACATTAATAGGTCACCGTTACCTTCCAACAAATGCAGCATCTGTCTTATACATCATACAGTTCAGTTTTCAGGGGACCAGCAGGTTACCAAATTCACAACCAAACTGGAAGGGGCGGACTGAATCAGTGTTGCCGATAAAGACTAAGGCTACTTTAACTAATGCCAGCACCATACTCGCTGCCAACAAGTCGATTCTGACTCATAGAGACCCTACATCGGGTTTCTCAGGTTCTAAATCTTTATAAGAAGCATACAACTTCATCTTTTTCCTATGGAGTGGCTGGTAGGTTTGAACCACTGACCTGAGATTAGTAATCCAATGCTTACCCAACACTGCCACCAGGGCTTCTTAAATAACGAGAAGCAGCTATGAAAAGCTTCAATTTTAATGGACTCATTTCTATCATCTTTAAATGGATCATTTCTAGCACTTGAGACACATAAACACTAACCTATTCCATGATCGTGTGGATAAGTGATCCTGTGGCTGACCAAGTCAGACTGCTGCTCTTTGATTTCAGAAGAAGTCTTAATGCCCAACCCCTTTTGGAATTAATTTCACTTTTGCATACTCACTAAAAATTCCTTCCCACCTAACCGCTTCAGAAAATTTAGAGTTGGAATTTCTATCCCCACATCCAAAGAACCTTTTAATGAAATAAATGAATTCAGTACATGCAGCCCACTGATGAGTTCATTTCCTTGGGATTTCCTTGCAAATAATCTCAAGTGTCCATTTTCTCAGCCTTTATTACGTTACGGTTCTCCCGTCAGTGAACTTGTTGGAAAGCATGCGAGTGCCCACAGTTGATGTGGCACTTCCTGTACTGCTCTTCAAACACTGGCAGTCCCTTCCCCAGAGAAGCTGAAAAACTACTCCTCCCGCGCGCTTCTGAATGGAAATTTACAAGATACAAGAAAAAAATGCTTTCCACATAGCGCATGCTAAAATTTTGTCTTTTAATTCAATTTTTTTATAAACCTTTCAAAGCTCCCCTCATACTAATACGAAGTGTCTACCTCAACTTTAATGTAATTACCTGACAATAATACTACAGTATTTATTTCACATAGCATTTTAGAATCTAAAAGTTTCTTCACACACTTTTTGATTTGATTCCTATAATAATCTCAAGTAGATGGTGTTGTGACTACTAGTTTATTGATTATATAATTAGAGATCGATGAGATGAAATTGTTAATAAATAGCAAAACCCTGCCTTCACTCTTAAGGCACATGTAGTGTCTTAAAATCATTCTCAAAAGCTAGACTGGAACCTGCCATGGGTTTAGCCTAACAAGGTAGCAAATTAAGTTTAAGATAGCCAGTCAAAAGGATTAAATGGACTTTTCCATACCTGCCAAATTACACCTATGCGTTGATTCAAAAAAATGTCCTGTGTGGGTTTTTTTTGCAGATCAAGAGTAGAAGAAACGTTAAACACTCACCTGCATGTAGACAAAGGGGCAAACTGGACACCTTTCTCTTTGCATTCTCTTGTTATTCTTTCTTTTACATTTCTACAGAGGTCCACAACTCTAGAAAAGACAATTGAGTACATTAAGTTTGAAAATGAATTATACAAATTCTAATACAATGCTAGTTTATGTACATCTTTCAAGTCAGAATTCTCTTAACTAAAGCTTTCAGACATGTGTATTAATCACTCAAAATTGAGCCTTCCATTCATAATGTCAAAGGGAGCCAAGTCATTTTTTTTTTGTTGTTATATAGGTAAGAAAGAAAAAAGAAGTTAAAAGATCACACTCAAGGGAAACCATAGGAAAAAGTCAAAATATGTGTAACTTTTACTTTAAGAAGCTTCTCAAAATAGAGAACATGTCAACAAATATGCAATACTGAGATGATAGAAATACCAACCTTTATCTGTGTATAAGATATTTTCTTAAATAATTCAATTAATAATTATATTATATCAAATGTTCAATAACCTCTTTTCAAATATTGGACTGGAATCCAATAAGCAACCAAGCCTTACTGGACACCAACTATGCATAAGTGCTGATGTGCTCTGCTAGACAGGTTTATATTAAGAGTCAGGGGAAATTAGCAGGTGGAAGGTAGTGAGTCAAGGAAGGGGAGGAAAAGCTGACATTACTAATCTATTCTTGAATGAGAGCTGTAGCATTTTATTATTTTGTGTTACCCTTAACGTTCATAAGTTAATTTTTCCCTAATTAATATACAGGGCAGACATTGACACTAACTTTTGTGTTTAAACTCATGATGATTTAAAAGATAATAAAAAAACTCAAAGGGTAGGCCTATCTCTAGACTCAAGACTGATTTGACTCTGGAGCAACAGATAAAAACGTGAACAATTAAACAGATTATTCTTTAAAAAGTACATGTAAGTTACCTGTATTTTCAGCAAGAAATTACATAGGACGTTGATTAAATACACAGGACATTGAACAAATACAAAAAGAGCTTTAGTGTTTTATTATACCACATTAAAAAAATTTAGTAGTAACTGAAATTCTATAAATTTTACAAAACAGTGCTAAGCTAAATACTGCTTTAATCTATGAAAGCTGCATCAACAGGTCAATGTCACCTATGCCTCATTTATGAAATGGTAAGAACGCATTTCCAAAAATATTCAGCATTTAGATAGAAATTTATGAACTCTTTAAATATAAATATGACTTACTCAACTTTTAATATCCATAAAGGTTAATGAATATTACATATTTTTAATCAAAGTCGCAAGTTTATTATAATGACTAGAAAATGGAATTTAAGTACAGCAGGTGTGTAATCTGAAAAAAAAAAAAGAATTGTAGTTTATCTATGTTTATAGTCTACCCGTAGCTGAAAAATGAGGACGGTGGAAGAAAGAACAGGACTGAATGGTTATAATCCCCAATTGGACATTTTTTAATACATGATTTGTAAGCTAATGTTCTTTCATAGAAATTGAACAAGGGTCAATGTGGTCCACTTTGATCAATTTTATAGGACATAAACATATTATGTATCTTTTTTAATTCTTACTTGGTCAACAAATTTAACACTGTTGACTATTCTTCTTGGAATAAGCTCCCCAAGCCTTCTTTCATACATTGTTTTGAAAATTCTCCCAAATCCCCTTTTATTTGTCAGCTCTTGTTTGCATGACTCTCTCTTAAACTTTTAGATTCCCTGGGCTTCTTCGTTAGACCCCTTTCTCTTAGCTCCATACATATTTGTATCTATCTCCTTGGTTTTATTCACAAGCATCAGGTTGGTGTTTCCAATATCTCCCATTCCGACCTCTTAGGCAATAGTTTCTAATAGGCTGAATTCTTAAACCATGTTTGTTTATACAGAATAGTCATTGAACATTAATTGGGTACAGTCATTATGCTAGGGCCACTAAAGAGACACAAAGACTATTAAGACCAATAGCCCCTTAGCAGGCTTACAAATGTGAAGACCAATGATCTCAAGTGTGAGAGTTGAAGACCCTCATCCCATGGGTTACTACTAAACCAGGTATTTACTCAGAAATTTGGGCTGGGGGAGGCCAGTTGCTAAATGTGTTGATAACTAAATTGTGTGTCAGGAATATAACTGGTTTCTAGTAGTATTAAGTATCAAAATAAACTTCAACTGAAGAAACTGTTTTAAGTAAAAGTACATAACTTTGTATACGGCATACATTATATGAATTAATTAGATAATTGTGTTAAGTATATACAGGGATAGGATTAAGAAATGAACAGACAATACCTGATTAGCTTCCACAGTTGGAAGAACAAGGTAAGATGGCAATTAGTATTAAATTAGTAGTTAGCAGTACATCATCAGTTAGTAGTAAATTTATGACAAGGATATTCATACATAACAAACACTGAAGAAAAGGTAAACAATACACTACCCACTTACTCTGCAAAAATAAAATAAAAAAAATTTCACTGCCATCGAGTTGATGCTAAAACTGCCCGTTAGTTTCCCCAAACAGTAACTCTTTAAGGGAGTAGAAAACCCCATCCTTCTCTCCAGGGGTTTCAAACTGCTGACCTTGTGGATTGCAGCCCAATGTGTAACCACTACGCCACTAGGAGCATTAAAGATTAAAATGGTCTTTAAGATCAACACCACGGCAGCTCAGCTACTACTGCTGCACAAAAAGTTTAGATGCTGATGATCTGTTCATTATTTATTTATATGATTTCATCCTCTTATTAAAATCTAGGATAAAAAATTGTGACTATCATATTAGTACTATAAACTTGGTTAACTAACGATGCACACAGTATGAGAACCTATGCACCAAGAGTCATAATCTACAGTAGCTGAAGATTACATGTATAGAAGTAAAATTTGAGGGAAGACAAACTATTAAGATATTTAATATTTTGGGATGTAGATTCATGGGGTTTTGTTATAAGCTCTGTACTTTTCTGTAGATTTAAAGTATTTCACAATTCTATAAAACATAAAGCACATTAGAAGAAAGTAAAAATATACTGACAATCTCAAGAATTTTAAAGTATGCAGTAAGCTAACAACCCAAATCAATTTTTAATAAAACTATTTTCCATTTCTTCATCAGTTGTGGAGTTCTGGATGGGGCCTCAGTTAATGCCTTTGGCTGCACACTGAAAAGCTAAAGGTTTCTAAAGGCATCATGACAGAAAGGTTTGGTGACCTACTCACAAGCAGCCATTGAAAACGCTATAGTTCAAAGAACTACTGTGACATACACGGGGCTATTATGAGTTGGAACTGACTCAAAGGCACCTGGTTTTTAATTCTCCCTTCTTTAACCAATGTGTATCTATGTGTATATGAGAAAGAAGAAGCATTATTTTGCAAAGAAGCCCTTCTAAAATTTATTTCCATTTGTTATATTTGAATCATATGTTTCAGTAGTAGGATTTTTACATAAAATTTAAAATGGTAATTGTACATAAGTTGGATTTCTTTCACAAATTGCTTCAATACAAATTAAAACACAAGTTGTACCACATACGTATAAAAATACCAAGTTAAATAATATATGATAAAAGAAGATTGATTGGTTCGTGGTACTTTTTAGAGAACACTTTAAGTACTTAATTCACTTAAGATTTAAATCAAAAACTAGTAAAAGCAACTACTAACATTTAAGTTCAGTAAGACTTTTCATGAGGTAAATGTCTATAATGCCTTCCTTCATCTAGGGGCCAGAAAATTTGGTCTCAAAAAATGAATGGCAAATATTCCATTCTGATGAAGATATTAATTTAAATAAAATGGGTCTCTGTTTCAGTGTTTCTTAATAGAATCTTAAAACTCTACCTAGTCACACGAAAATTATTTTCCTTCAACTCATCTAGCCTACTTGCATACATCAAATGTTTTATTACATTTACCTGTCCCAAGGAGCTGAAGTCTCAAATGATTCTCCTAATACATAGTACTCCAAGCCCAGATCCTGTTAAGACACATATAAAAATATACACATGTTAAAAACGCCAAAGAATCACTACTGTTAGCATTTCATATGTATTGTGGCATTTCATTCAATGTTCAATATTATATATTTCTGATTTAACCTCAACTACTCTTTACTACTACCGACATCAAAAATATACTGGAACGATAGCTCCAAAGTGAGATAGAGCCTACATCGGGGAAGGACCCTTGTCTAGTTTCTTTCCTTGTATTAAGAGGGTTTTTCACAAAGTTTGTGGGGAAAAAGGATTTTTAAAATAGTGGAATTTTCCCATAAACGTTTCGAAGATCAGCTGTATAACCCTGGCACTTTGCCGAGTACCAGACATAGAACAGGAATGGGAATATTTCTCCAAGGGATGGATGATCTACCCTGAGCCAGTCTATGTTCCATAGAGAGAATGCTGGCAGGACACCTTCTCAGTGGCCTCAACAGCAAGTCAAACAATACCGTAACTGAGCACCGGCACTGAAAGAGGAAGAGGACAAAAAACTCGTGAGTTGAGTTAAAGGGAGGATAAGCTCTCTCCTTCAGATCAACTTTTTACCAAACCCACGAACAAAGCAGAACCTGACAGAGAGTAGAATGTCTAGGGCATCTGGATGCACTTCTGCTCGTGAGATGTATTTTACAGCACACAGACTACAGCGAGTTTATTACAAGTTACTTATAATGCTTCCTTTATTTTCCAGAGCACAATTCTTTATTAATGTAAAAACTGAAAGAACAATTCACTACCACAGAAGTACAACCCCCTAAAATAAAACTTCATAAGGCGGATTAGCACATGGTAAGTTTTGCCGTAAATTGAATCATTGAAATTGATAGAAAAAAAAAAAAGACCAATTACCGAACTAAATCTTTTTCTGTTATTCAAAAAGTCTTTATTTAGTGACAGTGGTTTTAAGCATTGGGATAAATAAAAACAAATAATCCAAAAGGGAAAAAGTAAGCCTCTAATTTGCTTTTCACTTATGAATCAAGTTGATTTCAACTCATAGGGACCCTAGAATAGAACTGTCTCTGAGTTTCCAAGACTGCAGTCTTTACTGAAAAAGAAAGCCCGTCTGCTCCTGAGGAGCGACTGGGGGCTTCAAACCGCTGATTTCCTGGCTAGCAGCCCCACTCATCACCACTCTGTCCCCAGGGCTCCTCAACATTGATTGGAGCCCTACTAAGTCAAGAAACTTATTCCAACTGTGTATATACTGCACTTAATACAACTCTATCTCATTTTCTACAATTCTGAATTAATTATTGGGGAAAACAGTCAATACCCCCAGAGAACATGTCTAACAAACACAAAGAAACAAGGAAGTAGATGTGATTTACACATGGCACAAATCTTGTCTTTGAGATCTAAAATTCCATATCACCTTTCACAACCTCTAATACAGGTTACAGGCAATAATTTGTACTTCTCTTTGTGTGCATTATCGGGGCAAATGTGCCCTCTATGCTTTAATTCACGGCATTTTAGCTGACATTACATTCTTTTGATGAGGACACATTTATCCAAGCTTTCCTAGAGGAGTGAAAACAAGGGTTTGTGTGAGTTTCTTTTAACAACGCATTTCAAAGTGAAAAATGAGAAAAGTTAGGATTTGAGAAAACTAAATTGCCCATAGGATATCTGAGAAATGACCTCTTAAATTAAGATCCTGTAAATTACTTAGGAAGCAAAATGAAAAATATAAACAAATAACAGTAACCCTAGTGACAGTAGAAAGCAATTAAGAAACTTCAGTTTGTTAGAGCCAAAGTAGAAAAGCCACACAAAATTAATTAATAAATAAAATGTAACAGCCCCTGTGGTTAACGACAGCTAGAGAAATGTGTGCTACAAATAATAAGTGTAGAATTAGAAACCTGTGGAGCTCATATATACATACACAAGTTATTTCTTTAATTCTGTACTATGATCATCACCTATGAACTAATAACTACTTGCAAAAAAATAAGTATCAACTTTCTTTCTTTTAGAGAGATCAACAGTTGCACTTTTATGGCCAATTAAATATCAGCTTCTAAAATACATTTAAAGAAAGATTTAATCTAAAAATATATATTTTAGTATAAATGTAGGTTTTTAATTTATATTATTTTTGTAATAGCTACTATGAACAAATGTGGGATTGCTAGCTGATTCTAGACAAGTAGTGTTTGAAATGGCATGGTCAACTTTCAGTGGAGAACGGCTTTATTCTTTTAAAGAGCACACGATCTATTAAATCATCTTTAAGTTCTCCGACAAGCATTACAGGACAAGTTCTCCTGTAACCAATCATATACAATTAGGTGCCCAATTATAACAGCTTAAAATTTAAGAAATGAAAAAATAAGACAATTTTATTTTCTCAAAGTTAGAAAAAGTTATGAGCAACATAAACAATAGTGATGGGAAAATCTGAGTTAACTTACTCGAATATATGCAATGACATAGGTCAGCAAGTAACCTCGCTGTCCATTATCTTCTCCGGCAGCTATCCCACTGCAATTAAAGATTAAACTGTTATCATATTTCAAAAGAACTATTAAAAAATATATACTACCAACCAAATTGAGTTGTATTGTATCCTCAACTGCTTAACAGATTAAAGCATATTACACTTCATTCTTGTTTTTATGTAAATATTTCAAGGAACTGTCAGGAAAATAAACCTGGCTGCATAAACTTCATATTGCAGTTTAGTCATTAATTTTAAAATTTATTCATCAAGCCAATGAAACAACCTCATTTTAATTTCAACCATTTCTATCTGCAGAGAAAGAATGATGAGAAACTCGCTTAAATAATCTTCAAAAAGCATTCATGAGATACCTAAAATCTGATCTTCTTTATAATATATATATCTCAAAAGTATGATTAACCAGTATCTACCAAATACCATAAGAATTTTTACTACTGAACACATAGTGTTGAAGGCACTAGATGTGGTGTTTATTTTATGCAATCTACTATTTAAATGAGAGTCAATCTATGCTTAAGAGATATTATAGTCTACAAAGCATATACACAGATAAGTACAAGAACAGGTAAGGTTTTACAGCTGTGATTATATACAAACTATTCATTTCTATTTGAATATAGTTTTATCCATACCAATTATATTTGGTGATACAGTTAGAGTTAATCCCATATGGTATATAATTCAGCCTCAAGTACTGTCTCTGGTTCCTTACTTTAAAAGACCAGAAATGAATCTTGTTTTCTATTAATTTCAGTAAAGAACTTTTCATTACAATTTTCCCATCATCAAAGAGAAACTGACTTTTAACTAGTCTCAGTCAACAAAATAAAGCTCACCCCAACTCTCAATGTACTCACTGAAGACTCATCAATAAAATGAGATTAACAGAAAAACAATTTTCTGGTGACTTTTGCTCAGGGCTGATGATTAGCTTTGGGGTGTCTTCTCAGGTCCTAACTGTATTTCTCTGGTCTCATTTAATATGCTGAACCATTAACTATGGGTGTTACCCAAGACTTGATTCTTGAAACGATTATGTGAACCTCTCCTGGTAGAACCATTTGTCTTGTGGCTTCAATGAACACCTTGCAGTTAAATCCCTTGCTTCCCCTGAAATTCTGCTGATCTGGTATAAATAATACAGGTCAGTTGTATCCTTGCTCTATACAAATTCTGTTGGGCAATTTTAGGCTGAGATATACTAGCTGAGTCAGAATTCCCTAACTTATTATTATAGTTGGAGACCCACAGATAAGAGAAGACCAGAAGGACAGAAGCAACCCTGGTCTAGAACAACTAGGGGATAGTGTATAATGAAATGAAAGGTGTTGTTTGTATTACTAAAATATTAACGAATAAAGAAAACAGAGAAACAAAATTGCCCAAAAAAGGAAAAATTCACTCTGAAAATTGATGCTGCAAGAACTTTAAAGAAAATAAACAAATTATAGCTGAGGTAGAGGTATGAAACAGCCAGATTCTGAGTCTAAGAGATAAAAACATTTCTGATGTAGAAAACAGAAATGGTTCATGCTGAACCCAGTAGTCACAGGAAGGAAAAGAGAGTGAACACTAGCAAAAGCTGTAAGAGACCTGTGTTGGGAATCTTTAGAAAAGAGCAAACCAAATGTCTGCTTCCAAATCCCAGGTAGCTATTTGTGTTATTTTTCCCTACCCTTCTTCTAATACCTGGCAGGGGAAAACAAAGATGTAGTATGTGACAAAACCTCTCCCCTCCTTCTCTCTCTTTCAGGTAGTGAGGAAAAAAGAGGATGTCTATTCTAAGGTTAAAAACTCGAAAGGACGTCGGACAAGGCAAGATATGACAAAATAAAAATTTATAAATTATCAAGGGCTCATGAGGGAGTGGGGAGCGGGGAGGGGAAAAATGAGGAGCTGATGCCTGTGGCTTAAGTGGAGAGCAAATGTTTTGAGAATGATGAGGGCAATGAACGTACAAATGTGCTTTACACCACTGATGTGTGTATGGATTGTGATAAGAGTTGTATGAGCCCCTAATAAAACGATTAAAAAAATATTTCTTTCCCAGAAAAATGAAGGCAAAGATGCAACAAAAATCGTTTTTTATCCACAAAGAATTCCAATGAGAATAACAAAATTTTAATTGTAGACTTAAAAAAAACTTGAAAGGAGAAGAAAGACATTGAGTCACAAATTTCCTTGAAATTTTAGCTATTTGAAATTTCTCTTAGCATTTAGGACGTCTATCTTCCATTAGAATTACCTTAGGAACTCATCGGTAAACAATAACTCCAATGTCATCAAACAGTTTATGATTCATAGTATTCCTCCTGGACAGGCTAGAACTTCCCCTGTGGGTTTCCAAGGCATTACCTCTTTACAGGAATTGAAAGCCTGGTTTTTGTCTTGCAAACCAAAGCAGGGTTTAAAAGTAAAGGGTTTTAATGTGCCAGGCTTGTAGTCATTTGAAAAACTCTAGTTAGATTCAAATAGCTTTATCTTAGAGTGGCAATATCCACTTCACATTTGTCTCCAAATTTCAACCATCAGTTAATAAGGTATCTTAAGCAAATTTCAAGTTGTCTTATGAGGAAGGACTGGGAAAGACTAATAAATGAGGAAATGAGAGACAATTTATATATATATAAAGGGGCTATTTGGTGAACCTCATCACTCTCGGGCTAAACTGCATTAAGCAACTTATTAAACACACTTTCAAAATGGCGATACTACATTACCTTACACTGTTTTCTGGGTAAATGTCAGTACAACAGTCCTAGCTGCTGACAGCACTGGGGTTATTATGTCTAATCCTTAGCAAAGATAAAGTACATCACTGTCAAATACGGACAAACTCCCTGAATTATCTAGTGCTGCTACAAAAGAGATACCACAAGTGGATGGCATTAACAAACAGGAGTTTATTTTCTCACAGCTGAGGAAGATGAAAGCCTGAATTCAGAATGCTAGCTCTAGAGCAGTGTTCTCAACCTTCCTAATGCCGCCATCCTTTCATACAGTTCCTCATGTTGTGGTGACCCCCCCCCACTATAAAATTATTTTCATTGATACTTCATAGCTGTCATTTTGTTACTGTTATGAATCATCATGTAACTATCTGATACCCAGGATGTATTTTCATTGTTACAAATTGAACATCATTAAAGCATAGTGATTAATCACAAAAACAATATGTAATTATATATTGTGAAATATTTATTTCTAATTACAAATAAATGAAATTTTGTCTTGAAGCATGGTGTCGCATGGTAATAGTCTTCATGCCGGGTACTCATGTGTGGGCGTATGTGCCTGTGGGCGGACCAGGCTGGAGACAGTGGAGGAGTGGTGTCTCAGTTCCTAAGACCATCAGAACCGCTGATGTAGAGGTAGGTTTTCTCTATGGGCTCCAGTAAGATCCTTGTCTTCTGAGCCACGGTTCCTGGGCAACCTTGGCTTGGCGCCTACCTTACCATACCTCTGCTTATTTCTTTTACTTGTCTAATCCAGGGTTTCCAAGATCCTTTTATGAATACATACAAATGACCTAGAGAGCTTGTTAAACTGTAGACTTTGCAATAGAAAAGCAAATTTCAGTTTAAATTTTTGGGTTTTCTGCTTGGGTAGTTGGTAAGCGCCATCAGGCAGAGGTTTAATCTAATAAAAGATTGTTCAGCCTTGTCTGTGGTGAAAATTCTAGGACACATGCCCTTAACTTTGCATGATGGAATTTTTCCTATTTTAAACTTTTGTTTTCATTCTGCACAGTTCCTTTTTAAGCCCACCTCTTTCCTCTCTCCTTTCACTATAAGCAGCCCCTTTAAGATCTTGCTTAGAAATTTCATCAAGCAGATAGATATCGAAGTGGAACATTTATAAGTTCTAACTTCCACCAAATATTTGACACTGCATAGAAAGCAATGCCCAGTCACATGTTCCTCATTGTATTTTAAAGCACATTGAACGTCTGTCTACCTGTCCAGCGACATTCTGTTGCTGGCACCATATGCACTAGTGATACTTTTGTTATTGCTCGCCTCACTTCCTTTTGAGCATTTACCAAAACTGCCTTTATACCCATAATTCTAAAAGTCTCTTCAAGGTAATGCAGACATTTATTAAACACCTGGAAATTCTTTTGGCTTCTTTCCGAAAACCAAACTGCTTCAACAGTCAGCATGTATAGAACAGGGCTTCACTCCTTATAACAAATTCTGACTTACTTGGTGTTGCTTTAACAGAAAGACCACGAGTGGATGGCTTTCACACACAGAAATGTACCTTCTCAGTTACGGTGGCTAGGTGAATCTAACAGGATGCTAGCTCTAAGGGAAGGCTTTCGCTCAGTGACACCTCTGGTGCAAGGTCCTTATCTCTGTTGAGCATCCGCTCCTGGGCTATCTTCAAGAGGCTTGGGATTTATTTTACCTCACCTCTTCTAATTTCTCTTGCTTCTTTAATCTCTTTTATATCAAAAGGGATTAACAAAAGTACCCTCTACATTAATCCTGCCTCATTAACATAATAAAGGCAACCCATTCCTAAATGGCATTATAACTACTTTAGGATTTATAACATACAGTTTGGATAGACAATTTTATCTATAATAGCTAATACATAAAAATATTTCAAAATTTTAAGGACACATAACAAAAGACAATCAATTTAAAATTGCAAGGGGTGGATACAAAAGGTAAAAAGACAAACAGAAAGTAAAGGATAGATTAATAATGCCCTATCAGAGGAAGAAGCAAGAACTAAACTACATTATAAAACTTTTAGCAGCAAGAAACTTGGGTGGTGCTTTCTCCACTCTTATGCACACAAAGAAATGATGGAGGAACGAGGGTTGTAAGAAAAACATCCTTGAATCTTGCAGTGATTAGAACAAAGAACAAGTGCCCAGAGAAGACTGATAGAAACCAGGCTTCTGCTGGAAAAACACAAAAAACTATATCCACGTATCAAAAAAAAGCCCAAGTCATCTAGCCTAAATCAGCAGCCTGGGTTTTCCACACAGATTCCTTCATCTAAATAAGAAGCCATGATGAAAGCGCACAAGAAATTAGTTACAATACCCAACATGTAGCAAATGACACTAGTAAATAAGTGAGACAGCCTTCTGGGCTTCAGGTTTTTTTCACTTTGCTTTTAACAGATAGTTCATTTATTATGGTCTATTTTTATATTTTTATAGGCCGAAAATAAGCAAACTCACTTGAATTAAATGAACAGTTCAAGAATGTAAGTATCAGTATTCAAAAAGACTTGGATTCCACATCTTAAGGAAGATTTACTCTCATTTCTAAACTGCAAATGGATGTTATGTGGGGAAAAACTAGCATTATGTGGAACAGCTAACTTCCCAAGTTAAATGAAACTGACAAAACTGTCTGACACATACCTAAAGATTAAAACCTACTGTTAAAAGGATGGCATGGTGAATTAGGCATAAATGAAGCAGAATAAAATATAGAGTAACAATATTCTATTTTATTAATTTATTCAATAAGTATTTAGTAAGAATCTAGTAAGTGTCAGGCCATCAGTGGTGAAGCCTACAAAAAGTATGTGTGAGGTGGGATAAACGGACCTCTTCTCATTACTCTATCCCCGCCTAGTAGGAAACCAGTAACGACTTGTTGGCTAATCCGAGTTGTAATGATAAATATATATGCTAAAAAATAGAATTTGTGTGTGCATGTGTATTGTGGGAAGAGGAATGAGATAAAACTACACATATTTAATATAATATAATTCACATGATTTAAATACTACAGTATCACCTTATGGAATTCCAGTAAAATGTCATCTTCCATCTTCTTTTAAGTCCATGTGGAAAAATTTTAAACTTCAATCCAATGTTTCAACATACATGGGGATTGAAATAAGTTCATGAAAAAAATTCAATTATTTTTTTGTTAATTTCATTTTTCCATGCACTCTTTGAAGTCCCCTTCTATAAGAAAACTTTTAAAAAAATGTCTCGGTGTCTAATATTTAAGACTGTTGTTCTTCATGGCACGGAGTCAGCCCCCCCTCATGGGGATGTCACTGCATGGTTTTTCAGAATTGATTCAAGGGCTTTGAGTTTTGAAGACCCCCCAGGATTTCTTTCCATGCTGTCTTAGTCTAGAAGCTCCACTGGAGGCTGTTTAAAAACCCAGCAACCCAACAAGCCTCCACGAACAAGTCGTTGGTGGTCGCTGCTCATGAAGTGACGGGAACAGAACCCGGTCTCCAGTAGAGAAGGCCCCACTCAATGTCTTATGAACGGGGTTGCTAACCATGAAGTTGGTAGTTCAAACTCACTATAAATTCCACAGGTAAAAGATGAAGCTTCCTGCTTCTATAAAGATTTATAGCTTTGAAACCCCCAACAAGGCAATTTCACCCCATCTTATAAGGCTGCTAGGAGTCTGAACTGACTCAATGGCAGTGAGTTTGGTTTGGGTTTGAGATGTGAAAGATTCTACCTTAACTGCCTTAAATTTTCCTGACTACTATAATCTACCTTAAGAAAAATTATTTTTTAATCGAATTATACATTTTCTCCACAACTTAGAAGGTTGTTACACACACAGATTTTAAGAAAAGTGAATGTGTACATTTAGAAAATTCAAACAAAAGTAACACCTGAAATCCAAGCTGTTTGGTCTTTAAGTGAATATTTCTGACAGTTACTCTTAACTAATTGAGCTAAACATCAATGATCCTCAAAAAAGGAACTGTGGGAAGAGAAAAAAGAAAAATAAATTGCTGTTGTTAATGAACCCCCAGATTTTTAAAAAGAACTGAAAACTCTTCTTGCAATTTCAGAAAAGGGTACGAACAAAAATGAGGAATTAATCTGTAATACTGAACAGTTCAAAAAGGGGCTAAAATTAGGCCCACGATTATGTCTTTTCCTCTCTACCAAGGCTGTGCTTTTACAGAAAATTCTAGAAATAAATTACATAAAAGTGAATGGATCATCCTATGACACATGGTTCCAAAAAAAGTATGTTTGCACCAAAAAAAAAAACACCCATATTCCCCTTCCCCGCAAATAACAATAAAACTTTAGTAAAATGATTCAGAACTCAGTAAAACATGATGTGTACATGTATTTTAAGCCCTAAAGTAAAGAGAAGTAAGAAATGGTATCTGGAAAATTGTTAGTTTCTGTTCTAGAAAAGGAAAGGAGAAATGTAGTCCTGATAAATGACATTTTCACGGGAGTTCTCATCGATCAGTCTTATAATCCATCAAGCTGACAAGCAGAAACCACCTCTCATTACTCAGTTGGTGATAGATGTGAAATGTTCTCCGTTTCTTTGTACCAGCACAAAACAGTAAGTGACAGGGGGTGGAGTATAGCTAATTTATCAAATACTTTTGATTAGACATAATTTCCTTTTGAAAACATACTTATAACATACTTTATTCATAACAATTACCATTAAATAGTTAACATGTCTGTATTTTACCCTTATTCCACTTTAGTATGAAAAGTATTGTAAAAGTTAACAAATATTATAAAATTAACTAATATAATCTCTAGCAAAACGGTTATTTTTGTACTTAATATATCACATATATGACTACACAAGTCAGAGAAACACACCAACCTAACTTCTTTAAAAAGAGGAAATAATCAAAAGCAATACTATAACTTTGTCATTAGCATATGACCACAAAGCAAATACTAAAAAGGGTACATTAATACTGACTGGAGATATTAAAAGTTTAGCTTAACTTAAAATTAAGAATTTAAAACCATACCCAAATTTTGCAGCAATGTCATACACTTGCTTTTCATGTTGAAGAACCCTCTCACGGTCCCCCTCAAACAGCAAGGTAGCTACACTTAGCTGATTGGGGTCAAATCCTTTAAACTACAAAAGAACAAAAAATTTCATTGTTACAGAAAAGTCTATAAAAGAGTAAATCAAAATATGTTTTGTTCATTTATTCTTCTGATCTGGGCTCAAACATAATAAAACTCCTTAAAAATTAGGAAAAATTAAAAAGTAGTCCAATATACTAACATCAGCCCTTACAATCCAGAGTGCTCGGCCACCACTATACCAACTTCTCCATAAAGGGTCACATTAGAAGGTCCTGAACAGAGGGGGTAAACTGCATGCCAATCAACCAGAATGCTTAGTGAACCTACTCAAGTCACTAACAAAATAATAAAGGGAGAATATAATACAGGTGTGAGGAGAAAACAGTACCCCTACATACCAATACTAACTTCTTGTTAAATAATATTTTTCAAAAGAGATTTTATGCATAAAACTAATTCATAAAATATCTAAGAATGATCTCCAGTCTAAAATGGATGAGAAAGATGTAAAATTACTAGCTAGTGGGCAGACAGACACATTACATGGGGTGAAGAGGGAGGCCAGTAAAACAGGATAGAGACAGGGGAAGATACTGGGAAGAATGGAAGATTTAAAAGCATCACAGGTAAATACCACACCCATGACTATCTATAGATCTGATTGAGGCTATTTCTTCATGTGTATTTACCTATGCTACAAATATATCAATGAGTATGACTGAACATATGGAAGGCAAAGTTATGAAAATCTCTTATGACTTATGAGATCTTGGTGCTCAGGACCATGGTCTCTGAGGACACACCAAGGTCAACTGGTATAACACAGTCCATCTGTGTCAAAGTTCTACATCAGGACTTTGGTGACTGGGGTCTTAAATTTGTGAGCAGCTCAGGTACTGGTGTCTCTCCATCAGGAAGAAAGAAGAGAGAAGACAACTGAACACATGGAAACAGAATTAGTCCAATATACTAATGGGCCATGTGAACATCAGCCCCGACAATCCTGAGACCAAAAGAATTAGATGGTGCTCAGCTACCACTACACCAATTTCTCTGAAAAAGGGTCAATTAGAAGGTCCTGAATAGAGGGGAGAAAAATTAGGAATAAAACTCCAAATCATACAGACCAGGCTAACTGGTTGAACTGACACTGGTGACCACATCCCCACCCCCAGCCCTGGACATGAACCACCCCAGGGCTCAAGTTTTAGCTAAACGACAGACAGGTCTATAAGGGGAACATACCTTAGAGTAATCAATCACTTAAGGCGAAAAGGGAAGCACTTACCCAAAAATAATGTTCAGATGGATTAGGAAAGATGGCATAGAAATGTGAAGCACCGGGAGGGAGGGGAGTACACGATGTTACATTGTGGGGATTGCAATCAATGGCATGAAACAAAAATGAGCAATTTGTATGAAGTTTTGCTCTGTAAACCTCCAACCAATTTACACTAAAAAGTTTGGAAACATAAAGAAAACCCTATGAGGTACACACAGCTGTCCTTGATCCACATGAGGTCTTCAAAATCAGAGGGGCGTCCAGAAAAAAGAAGGGTACACTTTCCTGAATGGACACCCTAAATCCTACAGACCTGTTACCTCTGGCCCAAACAATTGATTCCAATCCTAGTAAATATCTTAATGGATTCTTTAAAATAATGAGTTCCTAAAATTCTTCTAGAAGAATAAGCATGTAGTGAGGATAACAAAAATTCAGAAAAAGAGGGGGGAACTAGATTTTCAACAACTAGGTCCTTCTAATGTTTACAATAAGTGACAGCAGAGTAGAGCAAATTGTACCTATCAAAGGCAGAAAACCTATGAGACTCTGCAGAAAATGATAGCTTTGTTGAGATCCAGCTCTCAGTTTTCCTTGTATGATTTGCCCTACATTAGATTTAAAATGTCATAAGAAATCCTATGTACAAAAACAAGGATATACTACCAAATGGCACATGTGCATTATTAGTGGTAGAATAAGCTTTTACAACCATTTAGGAAAGGAGTTGATCATTTAAAAATGAGAAAAACAAAAATGCTTCTTTCATTTCTAGATTTCTACTAGAAAGAAAATGCTATATATGTATAAATTGTGCAAAATTGTTAATTTTAGAAATAAAATTGAAAAAATATATAACACTTAAAAAATCATATAATTATGTGCTGAAATATTTATTTCAATGTGAAAATCTGTGATTATGCTTATACAGTAGCATGGAAAAACAAACATGAAAAGTGGAGGTGAGGAGAAAAAAAGCAATAATCAAAATTAATAGCCTAATAAGCACACATTTTTTTAGGTTTTTATTAAAATTCTTACCTTTGTAATATAAAATTTTTTCAATCCATCCAAAAATGATGTAAAAATAGAGGAAACCTGAGGTTTAAGAGCATGACCTAAAGAAGGAAGGAAAAAATGTTATTTTTAATGAACAGTAAGTTCTGCATTTTTCAAGACAAGACACCATCTCACATTAAGTATCCTGAAAGAAAAAAAAGGTTTTTGTTACTTTAATTTGTATGCTTCTTGATACTTTGGACATACTGTATTATTAATCAGGAGGGACCAGTCCCTGGAGAAAGGCATGATGCTTGGTAATGTAGAGGGTCAGCAAAATAGGAAGATGCTTAAGGAAACAGACGGACACTGGCTGCAACAATGGGCTCAAACATAATGACTATGAAGATGGTGCAGGACCAGGCAAGGTTTTTGTTCTTTGCACACAGGGTTCCTATGAGTTGGGACTGTTGCCACAGCACCTAACAACAATGTGTGTACACACGTACACACACACACACACACACACACACACACACACACACACACTTCGGTTCTGTAGTGGGGTTAAGTGCTATGTATGTGTCACACATATCTGTATTAAGACCCCCATCTTTTATCACTACCTCCTTTCAAAAGTCACACAGAATTTATTTGACACTTCAAACTTTATTTGTTTTTAAGTTACAGTATGCATTTACTACTACTACACATAGATTATCTTTCAATGGTATGGTTTACACAGTGTAAAACCACTTCATTAGTTTTTATTTCATTAAGAACACCCAATGGTGACTGGTTTTAGTTTTCTTTTACTGAATTATACAGACACCATTGAGAACTATAACCAAATATAGAGTCAATGCCAAGTTTAAGGTTGTTTCTTAATTACTTCTTAATTCACACAGAATTCTTGGCATAAAACTAGCAATTGCGTTCTTAATCACTCCCAGAGAATTAAAATTGCCAAAATAAAATAAATGGTGTCTCAAAGTCAGTTAAATTAACATTGTTGCCTGAGGATTGAGCTTAATAGAGCAAAAGCTTTTTACTATTGTTCCTTTGTTTGAAGGGAGTAGCAACTTCTACATTCCCAGGGCTGTTACATTTAAGAGTCATGCATCTGGCCTTCACATTATGAGCCCATCCAGAAAAAAGTAGGGATATAGAAGTTTTATAAAGAATTTAAAGCCTGAAATATAAAATTATCTCCAAGTAAAACATTAATTTGTTTAAAACTATAATGGGGTTTTTTTTGTTTGGGATTTTTTTTGTGGAGGTGGCGGGTAAGGTGGAGGCTACTGGTTTATTTTTAAAGTGTTAAGTTCTTTAAAATGGATGCAAACAGAAAACTAGCTATTTCTCAGAAAGAAAGTTGTCTATGAGGGAAAAGCAGCAATAACACATAAAATTATCTATCACATGTAGTCTTTTAACATTATTCTACACAAAAGTATGAATGTGACTATGTATTTATTGACTATACTTTTACTGACTATAATAAGGAAATGTTACATAAAATACCAGGTATCATAAGTATTAAGCAAAACTTAAGCGAAATATATATAACTAAGCTACATATAAGTATATATATACAATAATAAAGGGAAAACCACATAGCGCTAACCCTAACTAATATTCAAGAGCTCCCAGATGCCACCTCCCCACCTCCACCCCTTTCATTCTAAGCTTTACTAGTATAACCAGTGACATTATCATTAAAACATTTACTTCCTATCACAAATGGGCCTCATTTTATTTTAACAAAATAAATACATAAAAGTATATATATGCGTAAGTATATGCGCTACATTCTTTAAAAAAAAAACACTAAATATCTATTACTTGTGCACTATCTTCTGCTCCACATATCTTTATACAATAAATGACAAGTCCAAATGCTACTGCCCTGCAGGGAAGTAATACAAACATTTTAATGTTTATATTCACAATTTCCACAAATAATAGTAGGAATGAGTCACACATATATATCCCTAATACTGAGTTGAAATATCAGGCATTTTAAGCATAATTTGTCATAAAAGTAGGAGAAGCTTAAGTGGGTAAATCAGTGCTGTTAACTCAAAACTCCCCCAACTGACTGTATCAAGTCGATGTCCACTCTTAGCAACCCGACAGGACAGGCTAGAGCTGCCCCTGTGGGCTTCGGAGACGGCGACTGGTGGGTCCAGTAAAAGGCCTGTCTTCCCACTGGGGCGCCACTGGTGGTTTTACCTGCTGACGATCTATCGGTTAGCAGCCTGACCTAACACACTCCACACTGCCAGGGCTCCTCTGCATGGGAGGGCAAACCTCCTTGTACTGGTGGAGTGTGAACTAGAAGATATCACTTATTACTGTTTACTTATTCTTAACGTTGTCTATCAAATTAGTAACATTCCAAATATATTCTACCCATTATGTTTTATCTACACAACACTAAACTCATTATACATACAGGTTTGCCAGGAGTCATAATCTACAATTCGTAAGGAACTATTATACACATTTCCTAGCTGGGAAAAACTGAAGCAACTTTTGTTATGTTGTTAGGGGCCCTCACATCAGCTCTGACTCATAGTTACTACCTGTGCAACAGGACTAAACACCGCTTGGTCCTCTGCTGTCCTTCCAAGTATTGCTGAGTCCATGTTCAAGCCTTTGGGTTAATCACCTTAGTGTTCACGCATCTCAACTTTCCCCTGAACCTCTATATTACCCAGCACAATGTCCTATCCCACAAACTCATTGCTCTGGTAAAATGTCCAAAGTACACAAGATGAAGTCTTGACATCTTTGTAATTTCTGAAAAGGTTTTTATTATCACAGTCTTATTCACCTTCTGCTAATCTTTCTGTTTCCAATTTTTACATTCCAATCACTATTAATTATCAAAGAATTTTGATGGCACGTTTGGTCAATCTCAGACTACTCTTCATCTTTTGCATTTGTGGTTGTTGTATAAATTTGGGTAATATTCGTATTAATTGGTTTTCTGTATAGTTGACTGGCTATTACCCTATCATTGACAGTCCACCTCTACCTCAAGACTTATCCGTCACTCCCTCCATCTGCACTGAAAGGGAACCAGTGCAGTCTTCTTTTGTAGCACCTCTAATACTTACTCACTTATGTAGATGTCTTCATTGAACCTAGTGTCCTCTGAAAGAAAAGTACTATTAACACTCACCTTTGCAGCTCAGCAACCAGTATTCTTCATGCATATAACTGGTGTTTCATATATTTTTTGTTGCTAACCAAACAAATATGGAAATTAGCAGTCCTTGCATATTATATTAACTTCCTATGGTTGCTATAGGAGCCCTGGTGGTGTAGTGATTACATGTCGGACTACAGTTTGAAACCACCAGTCATCCCTTGGGAGATAGGGCTTTCTGCTCCTGTAAAGAGTTATACTCTCAGGAACTCCTGGGTCAGGTCTACCCTGTCTTACAGGGTCATGATGAGTGGGCACTGACCCCATGGCAGGGAGTGATAGGGTCCATGTAATGAAGTACCACAGTTCATGACTGACAAGAACCAATGTATTTATTGTCTTACAGTTCTGGGAGCTGAAAATCCCAATCAGTTATGTTAGCCAGCAACCATCCTGCAAAAGTCTCTGAGGAAAGATTCTTTCTAGCTTCTTCTGACCTCTGGAAGTGCCAGCCTTTCCCTGGCTTGCAGCTTGTGCACAAATTCCTTATCACAAAGCCATCTGTTTTTGTCTCTGTCTTTTTTTTCTCATCTCTTTTATAGAACACCACCAGTAAGACTGGATTCATTAAGGCCCACCTTCTTCTAGTGTGACCTCAGGTCAACGTCACTGATAAAATCTTTAACAATTATATTTCCAAATAAGGTCATGTTCACAGGTATCAAGGGCTAGGGCTTCAACATAAATTTTCAGAAGATGTGTGAAATCCATAATACTTACCAAAGTGAAACTGCTTGTTGTCCATGAGGCGGACAGAAGCAGGAGCACATCTCTATTTAAAAAAGAATAATATTACTTCAGTAGGTGTTCACTATACAGGTAGAACATGACTATTATCTTTCTATATTTAGGGGATCATGGGCCCAGTTCCTAAGGTATAGACATAGAAAGAATCTTAATATTTTATGAAGACATATAAAACATAACTGTCTTCTATAAAATATTGAGACAACTCTACATATAATATGTATATATAACGAAGTCACCAGATTTTTTATTTACCTATAATAAGATCTGCTTAATGCCCAGCAGAGATGGGTAGGAAAAAAACTAAAAGAAATACCAGGCCTTGGAGTGGAACACTTTAGGAGAAAAGAAGTAGAAATTTCTAAAACTTGTCAAACACCTAAAATCACAAAAAAACATAGAAAATTAATGTACAAAATATATTTAGTGTGAGTGGGTACAATTCAACTGGAAATGTAGCTCCAAAGGAGGGGGGGTTGTTAGTTAAAAATGGTTCATAGATGTCATTGTCATATCAATTTCTCAAGAAACAGCATCAGAACAAATACAGGGGCAGAGTGTTGGTTGTAGTGTAGTTGCTTAATGCAGTCACTAAAGACATGTCCAGCATTTTTCAATCACACCTTCGGGTTCCTACTTCTTGAAATTGACAGCACATGGATAATTACCTAAAAGAGGCTGATGCCTAAAGCCAAACAGTCAGTTAGGGGCTTACTAAATTCTGCATGACTTGAATGTGACTTTTGGGAAACAGTTGCTTAGAGGGTCAGGGTTCAAAAGGCTATCCAAGGGCAGATGGCCGGAGTGGGTCACCCCCAACTTCCTGGACTCAGTGAGTTGGATTCCGGAAGAACAGCAGCTGTTTCTCAGCCTACAGCTAGTGCCTGCAACACTGTACTGTGCCGTCAGGCTCTTAGACACCTTGTAAAGAGGAAGATGATGATGAAATTTTTTGTGGCCAAAGCAGTTTTAAAAAGGTCTGCACAGTGCTCACAAACAATGTTGCCGATTATTCCTTTTTCTCCCTTATCATTGTCCATTTTAAATAATAATAATAATGTAAGAAAGCATTGAGTGCCTAGAATTTTCAGATTGTTCAACGTTAGTTGTATGAAAACAGCAAAGAATCTTCTGAGGCTTGAGGTTATCTACAAAAAAACGGTACCAGTGCTGTGTATGTCTGGGTATAATCCAAGAGCTGCTATGAAAGAAAAATAAGGGGCACATATACTCATCTTGAATTTTGTCATGTTAAAGCACTACTGCAATCACACCATCAAATCTCAAGGTAACTACAATTGTTACACAGAATTTTAAAAAAATCACACTGCACTCTAAATGAGATTTATAGGTGTCTGTCAAACTTTTAAAATACAGCTAAACAAGCTTTTAGACTAATATTTTGACAAGTGACACAAACTTTTAAAGCATTCATCTTCTGAGTAACAATATTTATCCACAACTTGTGTATTTTTTTAAATCAATTTATTGGGGCTCATACAATTCATCACAATACATAGATCAAGTGTGTAAAGCACATCTATACATTTGTTGCCCTCATTATTCCCAAAATTCGCTTTCCTCTTGGGTTCCCGGAATCAGCTCATTTTCCTTTTTTCCCTTCCCCCTTCCTCCTCCCCTCTCCCCCATGCACCCTTGATAATTTATAAATTATTATTGTATCTTATATTACACTGCTCGGCGTCTCCCTTCACCCACCCCTCTGCTGCCCGTCCCCCAGAGAGGAGGTTATATGTAGCTCCCTGTGTATTAATATAATGTTGAGATTCACTCCAAAGAACAGAGATTAATATATACTTCAACAAGGAATTGTAATGTTAATTGAATATATTTTTATAAAGACAATATTTTATTCCATCCAGAAAATTAATGAAATTATTTACATTCTTATTTTGAACACTAACCTGCTTATCTACTCACATTTATACTAAAGGTGAGATTATTTAATTTATATCTTAAAAGTTACTGACAGTCTAAAAAATGATATTAAGTAATTTTACTTATATATCCTAACAATGAGCCTATCACCTTACATCTGTAGGACCTTATCATTTCTAAGCTTCTTGCTCATGCTTTTATGTAATATAGAAAACAACCTTGTCAGAACAACTATTAACCCCACTGTACAGATAAGAACATAGAATCAGAGAGGTTAAAAGACTTTCCCAAAGTCAGATGCCTACAAGTAGTTCTAGTGAACACATCTTGAACCAAGATACCCTGACAGCTACCAAGTTGCACTATTTCATAGACAACACCCCAACGAATCAGGTAACACATATACATAGTGCTTTAAAGTCATATTTGAAAGAAAAATCTAAAGCAAAACACAATAGTTATGTAAAAATGTACAAACTGCGTAGTTTCAACTCTTGGTGTGCAGGTATATTTGTAGCTTTACCAATTTCCCAAATACTAAATGGAAGACCAATTTTCTTTGCATTTACAAACCTGGAATTTTTAAAATAAAATGAGTATATCAACTTCCAGTAAAATATGGAAGCCCAGTCACACCACGTTTCCTTCACTCATCAAAGAAAAATTCACATACAGCATGCATATTTATACTTCACCATAAAAAAACAAAAATCACATCTGGAACAGTAAGCAACATTGTGATAGAAATACTGACACTCTCCTGGGTTTTACTTTTCTTCGCTCCATAATCAACACCTGTGTAAGCCGCAACCAGGAGCACAAAGCGGATTTCACTGGGCAAATCTGCTGTGCTAGGTCTCTTTACAGCACAGGTCCTCAAACTACGGCCCGAGGGCCACATGCGGCCCACCGCGGACTTTTATCCAGCCCACTGGATGTTTTTGACCTGTTTGTTTTTTTACTTCAAAATAAGATGTGTAGTGTGCATAGGAATTTGTTCAATTTTTTTTTAAACTATAGTCCGGCCCTCCAACGGGTCTGAGGGACAGTGAACTGTCCCCCTGTTTAAAAAGTTTGAGGACCCCTGCTTTAAAGTGTTAAAGACCAAAGGACTATGGTGCACTTGACCCAATCATGGTATTTTCTTTTTTTTTAATTATTCTATTGGAGACTCGTACAACTCTTATCACAATCCATACATCCATTGTATCAAGCATATTTGTACATTTGTTGCCATCATCATTCTCAAAACATTTGCTTTCTACTTGAGCTCTTGGTATTAGCTCCTCTTTTCCCCCTCCCTCTCTGCTCCTCCCCACCCTCGTGAACTGATAGATTACTATTATTTTGTCATATCTTACATTGTCTGACGTCTCCCTTCGCCCACTTTTCTGTTGTCCATCCGCCAAGGAGGAGGTTATATGTAGATCCTTGTAATTGGTTCCCCCTTTCCACCCCACTCTCCCTCCACCATCCTGGTATTGCCACTCTCAGCACTGGTCCTGAAGGGGTCATCTGTCCTGGATTCCCTGTGTTTCCAGTTCCTATCCATTGTACATTCTCTGGTCTAGCTGGATTTGTAAAGTAGAATTGGGATCATGATAGGGGGGGTGGCATTTAGGAACTAGAGGAAAGTTGTATGTTTCATCATTGCTACCCTGCACCCTGACTCAAGCCATCGTATTTTCAATAACCTCACATGTCTATGAGAGGTGCACAATGAATAAGGAAGATCGAAGAACTGATGAATCTGAATTAAGTGTGTTATCAAAGAATACTGAATATATCCTCCAAATCTGTCTTGGAAGAAATACAGCAAGAATGTTCTTTAGGAACAAAGGTGGAGGGGCATCCTTCTTATATTTTGGACATGCTATGAGGAAGGACCAGTCTGTTGCGAAGGACATCTTAGCTGGTAAAGTAAATGGTTAGCATAAAAAAGGAAGACCCATGACAAGATGGACTGACATCATAGCTGCAACAATGGGCTCAAATGTAACAACTGTGAGGAGCCTGGCACAGGACAAGCAATGTTTCCTTCTGTGGTACAAAAGGCTCACTAGGAATCTGAGAACAGCTATAAAAACAGCGAACACATTTCTAATGGAATTTAATCTCCAAAGCAACTAAAATGTACTAAGTAAAGCATGGTTAACTCTTACAGACACTATCTACAAAACACACTTTGGGGATAATTAGGATGATCTGATTATAGAATATACAACCACTGAGACAAGGGTTCAGAGGGGAAAAAATCAGACTCTGCTTAGAAAAAGGAAAAATTATCACTGCTCCTGTAAAGATGTGCAGCCTTGCAACCCCCAGGGATAGTTCTACCCCATCACATGTGGTCACTATGAGTTGAAATTGGCTTAATGACAGCGAGTTTGTTGGTTGGTTTTCGTAAGCTTAACATTTAGAAGTCAAGTGTCATGAAACCTCTAACTTAATTTCAAATGTCCCAGAAAAACACACCCACCCACACATAAGTGGGTTAAGTTAAAAAAGCAAAACAAAACATGGCTGCCAGAAGCTACTGTCACTTGCATGTGTCTATTCCGCACCAAGCAGGTCTCGGATTGATCAGTGGTTGGCTGAGGACAAGTGTATTCTCTTAGAGGCCTTAGTCTCATTAGGGTGCTTCTAAAAAAATATCAGAGTACTGTTTGTGGCATGGAATAAAGCAATTTTGGGGTAAGGGCTGACATCGAACTTCTAGCAAAACTCAAGTCGACATCTTCCTAAATTACTGACATTCTGCAACGGGGTCATGAGAGTGCTGCCCACACAAAAGAAGAGTTTTGAGAAAGATCAAATGTTTTGATTTTGGCAACTGCTTATTGTTATTCCAAAAGAGTAATCTTAGTGGATTTTTCTTGGAGGGAACAGGCTGATTACAAGAGTTATGATGATGAAGCTTCTTCAAGAAAACTGACAACTGCACTGGTGAGAAACAGGCCAGGAACCTAGGAATTTCCTCCAGAACAGCAATGTACCTATGCTCCTTATCCCAGGGAAGCAAGGACTGTCTTAAAAGAGTTTTGTTAGGAAACTGCATACACCCGACAGCCTCCATTCTGCCTTGTACAAGTTGCTTTTTGTTCCTAGGACTCAAAGAACATTTTA